TACCCTATTGTTTAGTTTCTCAATAAGTTTCAAGTCTGAATGAGCTGCTCTTTTGACCTTGAGCCACTGAACTAATGGCTTCATTGTTAGTCCCTAAAAAGAAACCACATAGACATAACCACTACAGGTTAGGTAGGACGTACAAAATAATCCAAGCATTTAGAGTCTCATAGTTGTGATAAGAGTGATAGGGTTTTAACCTGAAGAATGACAGTGAAATACACCACAATGAGTGTGGTACTAATCATCAGATTCTTCTCTGGGATCTTGTCTTCGTCTAACATGGCTGCTAGTCCATACGCCACTGCCCCCCGCAGGCCACCGTAGCTCATTACAACCTGGTCAATGACCTCGATGGGAACCAATCTGAACTTGTTCAACATCCAGGTGAGCAAGAAAACACCTGCAAATATAAAACAAACATTCCTAAACATATCATAAAAACACATCCAAGAGGCATTCTTTGAAAGAGAAATCTTTGAAATGTGAGGGAGATTTTAAATGTTTTATTCTTTTTTACATCTCAAGCATAATTATTTCAAATAATATTTGTGAACGTTTGAGATATGATTTTTCTATTAAAAAACAAAAAATAAAATAAACACTGCTCTTTCTTTCTTTTTTGTAATGAGTGGATCAGTTCATCTTGACTGTCAAGCACGACCAACGAATGTTACAATGAGCATAGGTCTCTTAAACTTTTGATTTTGGCTTCTCTGAAAACTCAAATTATTATGAATATTTTATTATAAGTTTATGATTTAGTTGATTGAGAATGAATATATTAGCAAGGCCCATTACCTAGCATGCAGCAGTGTCATTACAGACTAAAAAGGTTTATACTGCAAAACTTTACCATTCAGAAAAGGTGTGCACAACAGGTTTGGGTAAGTGTTTATAGTGAAGTGTGCTATGGGAATTTGCTGTTATATTGCATGTTTGAATGTTTTTTACCACTGTGCGACTTTTGCATTACAAATGAGGTAGTGACTGATTACAGCCACAATGATCTAGTTGTGTCTGTTCCATCTGTGTAATTTATTTTTTATTTGCGTATTTTTTATTGTGATTTGAATTTACAATATATTTATACTTGAAAAATACATATAAACAGATTTTTGTAATTATAAAAAGTATATATAATCGAATGTTGTGGACAAAAATGGTATTTACTAGAGTGGATTATCAATTGAATAATATTCAATAAAATGTTTTTACAAAAAGTTTTAATAGGCCACAACTGCACTCACCTATGATCCTGTATATAAAGACGAAGAGGAGGGTGAGGAGGATGAAACCTGTGTTCCAAATCCAGATCTCTGTATCAATGGCTGTAACACCCAAGAATACGAAGATCATGGTTTCTGAGCCGTTTGCAAGCACCTTCATGGCATGACGAACTGTAGTGACCGATTTCTCATCCATGTTGGCGTTCACATATTTCTGACAGCATATACCGCAGAAGGTGATTCTGTGACACAGAAAGGCATTCTTCTCCATGAGCTGAATTAATTGCTTAGAAACATTGTGCATTGAGAGTAAATTCCTGCAGTACTGGTGTTGTATTACTGTACATTCTCTATATGTGTTGCATTGTTCAAGAGACTCTTACGAAAGTATTGCAGAGAGCGAGAGCATTTCTGCTGTCAGGTAAGCCAGGTAGCCCACCACAAAGACAAAGCCAGCTTCAATGATCTGAATGTGTTTGGTGCACCTGGTCAGCAGGGACAGCAGGATGGCAAACACAACGCCAAGAAACGAGCCTCCAAATGCCACCACAACAAATGAAACTGTAAATAAATGAATCTGGTTGGTTTAAAGTGAAAAAATAAAGAATATTGCTATGTTTATCATTATGAATGGGGGGTAGAGTTGAATATTCATACATATGCCCTTAAAAATCTCTGCGGCGTCAATCTTTGGGCCTCCAAGAGCAACAAAAGCATCAAATACATTGTAAAGCACCTACAAAAGAGGCAAAAAGATGATTACATAAGCGGATAGATATACTAGTGAGCATAATGGCATTTAGAGCATTTGAGGAAATTGAGACTCACCACTGTGACGCCATCATTAAGCAACGACTCTCCAAACACCAGAATAAAGAGCACCTCATTCACATGCACTTCTTCAAACACTGCAATCACGGCCACCGGATCCACCGCGGCGATTAAACTGCCAAACAATAGAAACTGCAGGAGACCGATGTCCAAGTTACCTGATGATTATAGAAACTGGCAAATTATTTCGGTATCCTCTACATTCTTAAAAATAAAGGTTTTTATTATAAATAAATGTACCCATCGCTCCAGCCTCATAGCAGCCCCAGAGCGAGAGGCCCACTGTAGCTGCGTTCCAGCATGTTCCGAAGATGGCGTAAATGAGAATGGCACCCAGGTTGCTGAAAAATAGCTTGTTGGGCATAAAGTAACTGGCATCCAAGATGATCTGGGGCAACAAGTAGTAGAAGAACGTGGGAGGAAGCAGTTTGAAAGTCTGTGCCTTGTCTGCTCCCCAGACGATTCCTCCCAAAATAAAGCCCAGGATGATGAGCAGACCACTCTCTGGGATCACACTGGTGACATGATGGTTTAGTTCAATCACTGGATAGAGAGGGAGAGACAGAGAGAAAACAGATCGCAACTTTTGTAGCCAGTAATGTTCAAGTTGTGGATAAGGTTAATATGATGCATATTAAAGTTAATGATTGTTTTAACATTGGCGCTCCCTAAGATTGGTATTTGATGTCATTTGGGGCATCTTCTCAGAAGTATGTTTTGTAAACTTTAAATCTTATATTCACAAGATGTAACTGTCATGAGCAATGCCCAAAAATGATGCAAAATGGTTATGCATTTTAAAAAGACATACCAGTTATACATTTACATTTACATTCATGCATTTGCCTGATGATGTGCACCAAATTTATAGTGCCAGTAGATTTTCTGATTTTTTTTTTTTTTTTAATGCATCAGTAATGAAATGTAAAACTAACAGGATTCTTTTATGATTATCATACTGGATCAAGTTTTTACTTTGTTAAAACTTTTAGTAATAACAACAGCACATATTATTTTACTAGTTTTCATCCTCTTTCTTATAGAAGCATCCGTACTGTACTTAACATCAAACTGATGAAACCAGAAAATATGTATTTTTTAAATCATCCCAAACATTAACAACACTTGAGGAAAGAACAGATACTGATCTCTCTATACTGATAAAATAAGCAGGATAAGAATACCAAAACTAACCATGTTAATCACAGGACTTGTGCTACATTATCATCCATTTACATGAGTAGCAATATGTTTATCATTATTTTATGTGATTCTTTGAGCTTCCACAGCTATTGTACTCAATTTGAATTTGTTACACAGCATTGTTATTAAACTTCCTAGTTCAAGGTAATCATAAAGAGATCTTCTTCCTTCTCAGAACTGAACTGAACTGTAATTCAGCCTTTCATTCAAAAATGACATCAACTTCAGATCAAACTTTAAAGGAGACATATTATGCCCCTTTTTACAATATGTAATATAAGTCTCTGGTGTCCCCAGAATGTGTCTGTGAAGTTTCAGCTCAAAATACTCCACAGCTCATTTATAATATCATTTTGAAAATGCCTATTTTGAGTGGAAGCAGAAACAACACTGTTTTTCGGGCCTGTCTCTTTAAATGCAAATGAGCTACTGCTCCCC